AGATTTGGTAAAAAAAAAAATTTGGCATTAAATCTTATTCAATGTCACAGGAACTTTTGTTGTTCAGTATACCGGTACATGTGAAGCCACACAATTGATTATCAGAGTTCTGTTTGTATATATTCTTATAGGATATATTCAGTTTTGAATTTATTTATAATATATCCAACTTGAGTAAATATTTAGTTGATATTTGCTGTCTTGCCTATCTGGTTAAATGTTGCTCAATATTGCGATATACAGGGATTTACCTGCCACAACACGATCTGTAAAATGGGGCGGTAGGGTATCCTAGTGGTTAACGCGTTCGCTTGTCACGCCGAAAGCCCGTGCTCGGTTCCAACATGGGTACAAAATGTGAAGCCCATTTCTGATTATCCGTGATATTGCTGGAATATTGTAGGGTAATCGCAAAACAAACTTGAAGTACTTATGCAGCGCTCATGCACTATAGCTGATTCAATACACCATCAGATATAGCCATTGTTTGTGAGTATAGTGCAAATGGCGGCCTGTATTTTTGCGTGTGTTTCACATATCCAAGCGGTCTTTAAATACAATACCCCTAGAACCTAAACAAAGTTCTTTTTGTATCCACTCATTCGCACGCTTGAAAATATGTCATCCCCAATGTTCTGTTTCATAAATGTATCTGCATTTCATCGAAAGGATATTCAACAGGAAGGATAGTACCCTTAGAGATCTCTTTCTTTAGGGTTTTTCTTCATTTTATATAATAAGACCCTTGACACCGATACAGCGACCGATTCATTACGAACATAGCACAATAACGATGTCGAAAGAGCCAAAACGCTTTTGAAAATATTCGAAATATATACCAAAGGAAAAAAGTAACTGTGCTTCATATGAATTATTCAAATAACAGTATAATATTTAGTCATTCGTCTGATCAATCTTGTATCATAACTATCTCATTGGGGAAAATCCATACCTGGTAACAGAAGACGGAGCGACACGCCCTAAAAGATGATGAATGTAACAACTCAATTGCCAATGCCAATGTTGAGTGTGACCACCATTTGCGTTTATACAGGCGATGCATTGAAGACATCAAAATGCTGTCTGGGGGACAGCCTGAAGAAAAATGTCTGGGGGATGTTGTCCCAAATGCCAACCAAAGCTACCGTTACCGGCTAGTTCTGGTCCTGTTGTAGGCGTTGACCCATCTCATCCCAGACATGTTCTATGAGGAAGAGGTCTGGAGAAACAGCCGGCTATTACAGCACAGCAATGTTATGTTGTTTTAAAAGTCCAACGGGTTGGCGGGCATTTTCCTGCTGCAACCTCCCTGCATTTACACAAAGGGTAGAACATGATCTTGAACGATGTCGATCGGTCTTCTGATAACTGACTGTAAAAGCCCAGTTTAGAGTCAGTTAACTCCCTTGCCTCGGGAAGGTGATGTCATCCCGGTAGCGTACACTTTTCATATTGCCTTTAACACTGATGAGTTGTGTTCTCCCATGAGCTGTGATGCCACCCCCAAAATGATGACGTTGTGTAATGCAGGCGACGCTAAAACGATCTCTAAACGCTTGTAGACCATTGCACGACAATCAGAGCTGTCAAAATGAAACCTGAACTCATCTGTGAACAGTATACTGACTCAGATTTGTCTTCAGAACATCAGATGTTGTCTACCCCAACTATGTGTCTTGACGGTAACGTGGAAACAAAATTGAGCGTATCGCTGGAGGTGGGGGCCGGATGTTGGGCCCCCTCTACCGCTTGCCCTGCTGTAGATATTTAAAATATGTGGCAGTTTCATTTGGTGTCATTCCTGTTTGCAGCAAACTCACGGCGCGTAGACGTTGATTTTCAGCAAGCCGTGGCATTGCGTAAGCTTTTTTTACAAAAACATATAAAATATAAATATATAAACAAACAAAAAATTATGAGCCCCTGATATTTTTACATTGTGTGTTGTTCACATTCAAATACCACGTGTGAGTATCATGCTCCCAACAAACACGCAAACATACAAATTAACATGCACGTGCAAACTGTGAATCGTGACCTAAAAGTCAAGGAGATGTCTTCATGAAGATATATTGAAAGTTGCATTATTTACTTTAGAATATATTTGTTTGTAATGGACTTCAGATCAAGAACAGTTACTATTTTCCGTTAGTAACTAATTTAAGGCTTTGTGAGTGTGGGTTCAGCTTGCGAATGATGTATGCATGTATGCATTATCAACCAAAGGCATCTATTTCTTCAGCCGGCTCTCTCCCTCTGAAGCTGAGCATGGAGATGAGAAACATAACATAATGCGAATGGCCTGATTGGGATCACTGTTGTCTTCTTGTGTTCCAGAGCTGGCCCAGAGGCAGTCGGGTAACCAATGGCATTTATAGTCGACGAGATTCGGGTATCAAATATCCAACCTATCCAGCCCTGAAGGTCCATTTACGGAGATATGTTACCAAACCAATCTGTAGTAACTGGTACCCCCACGTTGAGTTGAATCCGGATTTAAATTCCAGATTATATTAAAGATACATAACAACCACATCAGTCACGACGTTAAGTAATTCTAACTCTACATGTACATACATGTGAAGCCACACAATTTATTATCCGAGTTCTGTTTGTATATATTCTTATAGGATAAACTAGTATTCAGTTTTGAATTTATTTAAAATATATCCAACTTGATTCAATATTTAGTTGATATTTGCTGTCTTGCCTATCTGGTTAAATGTTGCTCAATAATGGTAATATACAGGGATTTACTTTCCACAACACGATCTGTAAAATGGGGCGGTAGGGTAGCCTAGTGGTTAACGCGTTCGCTTGTCACGCCGAAAGCCCGTGCTCGGTTCCAACATGGGTACAATATGTGAAGCCCCTTTCTGATGTTCCCGCCGTGATATTGCTGGAATATTGTAGGGTAATCGCAAAACAACTTGAACCACGTTCTGAAATCTGAAATTGATTCTCTTAAATATATTAGGTCCCCATGCTCCGTGCATTATCGCACTTATAAACGGGATTAACACTCCCTCCCATAGTCTTGCACCATGACTGTGGAATATATTTATTTCATTAAAAACATATTCTAGAAACGCTTACAAAGGCAAGTCTAACCAGCTCTAGCTATGAAATCAGCATAGGGAGATTTTTTAGAGTTAAGAAGGATATTGTGTTATATAAGATTTCGTAGACTAAATGTTAGTTTATCCCTCCTACAGCCTTGAGTGTTACATGATAGCTCAATCCAGCTCATTGCGGCTCATTGGCAGGTCGGTGAACATAATCCCCAATCAAACAAAAACAAGAATCCCCATGCAAGCCTGTGCGATTACTACCAATTTTTTCTAAGAACACTGACCGTTTTACTGGGGAACTATTTAGCCCTTAATTACATTTCACAGCCAGTTAACGTGAGACGAGCACAACTGTGAGATCAGCCATATTCAAACGGGTCATCTCAAAAACATTACTTAAATTCATGGTGTGGGGTATGTATGTAGTTTTGCGGTATTCCATTTTGTGTGGAAATCCAAGTCACTCCCGTGCAGTTGTGAATGTTGACTAAGAATATCAGTGCATGTTTCATATATAGATCTTTTCATCAAGATTCAGAGTGACAAAATAACTATTCACCAGACTGTATGACAAGAGGGAAGACTGCAATTTTCCAAGTCAACTTTCCTTTTATATCGGACAGTATTCCAGGAGCTTCAGTCCTTGGTGTACAACTTTTGAGGTACATTTTTGGTCTCTCCTAATCCTACCCCTATCCGAGAAGCTATATCACACTTGTAACAAATCATCACAGCCCTTATCTTGAACAAATACATATCTCATCACAACCTTTGTCTCTGAACCCTCCATATCTCATCAAAACACTTATCTCGACCCCTACACTACTCCTTTATCTTTTATCTTTTATCTATCCCAAATAATCATGCTTCAGACTGTTGAAAAAAAACGCCATAATTGCCTGCCACAAATATTACAATGTTGTAATGTTTTATTCTTAAACAATCAGGCTCATAGTTATAAATATATAAAAAATATCTGTTTTTATAGCTGTAGGTGAAAAAATATCTTATCTCGTTTCAAAGTACAATTCATGTCCACAGGTTAGGGTCAAATGAATGAATGATGTTTAATGACATAGTTGTAATACAGCTATATCGGAGGGGTTGTAAATAATCAAGTCTGAACCAGGCGAACCAGAGTTTGCTGTCTTGGTAGACATTGCGATCAGCCAATCCTAAAGGAAGTCCGTCTCTGACAAGAATGGGGTGGTGCAAATGTATTCTGACCTGGAATCCCTAAGAGGGCTATGTTCAAAACTCTCATGTCTGATATTGAACATCCTTTGCTCTGCCTCAACAAACATGAGAGTGTAAGTTGGTTGGTTTGTTTGTTGTTTAATGCTGCACTCAGCAATATTCCAGCTCTATTACCGTGATCTGCACAGAATGTAATTAATTAAGGGTAATGATAATAAGTGTTAATTATAAGCTCTTCTGTATGGAATCTTTCAAATTGTCTATGTATAAATGTTCCCTGCCACACTTTGAAGATCATTCTGGAGATGGTGAATGTTTTTCTGGCAAATGTAGCCTTGTAACTATCTCCTACTGAGCCATCACTCCAACAAGGCCTATGCTTGGTTTCCCTGAATTATCTTCCCTGACTTGTTTCGGTCGTAATACCCTGCACCTTTTTCCTCTGGACTGAGCAGCCACTGTGGCTGTTGTTGTGTATCACACTGCCTGTGGTGCTTATAATGGTGGTTGTGTTTGTATGCTTCTTGACCTTTTATGGCACTGAGAATTATTTTGCCACTTTTGTGTATATAGATAGATTGGAGTGTTTGTTGTATCATTAACGAGCTAAAACTTGTGTGGTTACAGAATTCATCCACAAAATAATGATGGTTTGCATAATTTTTTGTGACGAGTATACATTGACTTCACATCATGTCAACTGTATACAATAAAATATAACAAACACATATATAGGAAAGATGAGTTTGTATTTTTGAAAATAGGATCATAATCACAATACATGTATAATAAATCATTCAGAGTGTAACAACTATATAATTCAAACATACACCTACAAACCATTACTATTATTTTGTCCTTTTCAGCAGTATTTCTGCTATGTGAGAAAGGCTACTCTGAATTTCTGATTTTGCAAGCCGTCGCAACTGTCGCATTGCCTCTAAACTGTGCTGCTTAGCCAGGAGCCGTGTCTGTTCAACACCATCGCTCTGAAACCATGAACAAATACTGTAGACATAGTACTAGAAAATACAAAAATGGAACAAGCATGCATAACTAGAGCTCCTGATGAAAGGTTGCATGGTACAAATCACAGATGCTGAAAATTTGACAGGAACATAAATACTGCCTGGCAATAATATTGAGATTACTCATGTCATGTGGGAATTATATTTTCTGCCTCAAGACAAAAACCTAACAAAATTCTCCAGATAGTTGAAGTTGAGCTGCACAACATATTTTCACAACATGGTTTTTTCAGGACCAGAAAACAAACAATTCCAGCATCCTCTAGCCCCTGATCACCCTCAACCCCACCCACAGGATATTAAACTCTGGGACATATTTCTGTACCATTATGCTTTTGAAAAAGTTTTGTCTCCAACAGGATAGTTTGGCAATCTCATTCTGCTCATATCATTTCACTCCAATTGTGATTCTGACAACTCAATAGGAGGGCTCTGTAAGATCCTCAAACAGAGAGTTATCAAAATCAGAATGATAGATCTGAGTATCTTATTATCAATAGTGACAAATAAAAGGTTAGTGAATGAATTAGACTTATTGAAATAACAAAGAGGTTTGAGGCATGGCTAAGGGATTCAATTCACCAAAGTGAGATGCGGTGCCCTAGAATATGTTGGTGGGAGGGTGGATGGGTGTGTATGTGAGTGAGTAAGTATGTGTTTGTGTGTGTCTGTGAGTGTCTGTGTGTGTCTGTGTGTGTGCGTGTGTGTTGTTTCATGCTGCACTCAAAGACATCCCACCTGTATGTTATTAATCAAGTCTTGAGCAGACAATGATTCATAATAGCAATGAGTCACGCCATCGGGATACATTGACACACATTCAACAAGTGACCAACTTGACCACCTCACCACACATAATCAGGTTGAACCTGATGTCAACCAATGCCTAAGGGAAGCAACTCTGCAAGGCACAGTGCAGCACTTCAGTGAACTGGGCAAACTATGCTCCCTTTGATAAAAAGAAAACATTGCATGTTCCTTGATTATTCTATATGTAGACTATTGTTTCAACTTTCAATGGAAATTCAAGTTGAAGGGCTAAAAGTGATTGGAACTTTTCTTGGGGACCTTTTTCTTCTTAACAACATAAATAATTTTCAACTGCATACAATACATGTTAATATTATTCATGACTTCGAAAATTACCTTTGCAACCATTTCTCTTGCCCTTTCCACATCACCATCATGGGAAAATCTCCTCATAATCATTGCATTTAGTTCTGGATACTGCAAAACAAGAGCAACAATATCAAACCATCAGTATTGCATATTAGAACACCTCCTGACTTTTTAAACCAGGAATTTCAGGTCGCACTGACCCAAGTAGTCACTTGTACAAAGCTACAGTCTTTGTTAAGCCTATCCAAGTCATTTCAAGTATAGGCTGTTATGTTCACATTGTGCAAGTGGGATCATTGGGCCCATTTATGACATATAGCCGCTTAGTTTGTCCTTCTAGTACTGAAAATAATTTAATCATGCTTATCATGGATTAAATGTACAGATATACACCACAACATACTATCAATTATTCTTGAAAACCATCTAATATATTTCATTTGATAATACAATATTTTCTACAGTGTGGCAGTATTGAATGTTGTGCACCATTTCAATGGTGCAGTATATGTTAATGTACATGCATATTATTTTCTATAATTTAATGAGTGAGTGAGTGAGTATGGTTTTACGCCGCTTTTAGCAATATTCCAGCAATATCATGGCGGGGGACACCAGAAATGGGCTTCACACATTGTACCCATGTCGGGAATCGAACCCGGGTCTTCAGCGTGACGAGCGAACGCTTTAACCACTAGGCTACCCGACGGCCCCCCTATAATTTAATGGGCAAATGTATGAAATGTCATACTTATTGATAGCTGTCAGTGATCTTATCAAAATAATGGCTTCTATCAAGTAGTTGAGGGAGAAACCAAAAAGTAACTCAATGATACATCTATATCTTATTCTCTTTACACAATAATGAAAATAATCCTGAAATGTAGTGAAAATTCCATTTTGAAAGGAGTGTGTGTGAGTGAGTGAGTGAGTGAGTGAGTGAGTGAGTGAGTGAGTGAGTGAGTTTTTACGCTGCTTTTGGCAATATTCCAGAAATAAAACATTAGGGGACACAAGAAAGGAGAATGTCAGGAATTAAAACCCTGGTCTTCGGCGTGACGAGACAACACTTTAACCACTAGGCTACCCGACCGCCCCAATCATTTCTAACCATTTTGAAAGGAATGTTCCTCGTTGATCACATCAAACAACTGGAAATGAATGACGATCTATCAGCATCTTCAGTACCAGTAATTCTTTTGCCCAACATGACCATGAACCTTGTGATATCTGGTGTCGGAAGACACACCCCCTTTATGTCATTATTGTCTTGAAAAGTCCCTCAGGGCTGATGGTTCTGTGAGGAGAAAGACATCAGGGCCCTTAGGCAAAGCCAGATAAGTATATGAAATAAACATAATACTATTATTATGGAATATTTCTACCTTGTCCTGCATTACATATTGTACATTATCCGATGGTTGGTGGTGGTGCGTAACTTTAATCCAGGCTTCCCTCATATCCATTCACCAGTGGGGCTATATAATGATAAGTGGGCCTCCTTGGAGATTTTCTGTCGCCAACATGGTGTTATCCCCACAGATGCAACAGTGCAATTTATGGCAGACTACTGGCTCCACCTGAGAACCAATAAACACCATTAGGGTGGTACTATAGCTATGTACCTGTCCGCCATCGATACTGTCTTTGCTGTCACACCAAACCAAAAGCTATCCATGATACCGGAGTTGACAGCTATCATAAGGTGTTTCAGGTTGGAGTATCCAACAACGCCGCTATGAACCACTCGACAATGCCTCTTTTCACACCTGACTCAGAAGACCGTCTTCCTACTAGCTGTAGCTACAACAGCCAGGGTTAGCAAGCTTCATGCTCTAAATGTCCAGTGGGAACCCATCTTCCCGAGGCAAGTGAGTTAACTGACTATAAAAGTCCAGTTTCCACCCTTGCCGAACTAGGCAGGAATTATGGAGTTATATTTTGGCTGTACTAACGAGTTTATGCATAGTCCAATCAAAATCGCGCATCGAAATCAAAATCCGGTTCGTAAAGTGTCATGCAGATTTCGGTCGACTGCAGGATTTGCAAAGCATGTGCACCGCTAGCTCGTTGTCAACAGATATTTTCTAAATCTTTTCATGCTTTTAATCAAGGTACTCATGTGATTTGATGCACTTCGCGATGTAAGACTCGTTTTATCACAATATAGATCTTGATTATCAATCTGATCGTCTTGACTTGGCACCACCGTTTTGTTTGAAGCAAATGCAAGTGATACGAGAGGTTGAATCTGATTGGTCAATAGGAGAGGCATAGAAAGAACATAACTCGTAATAGCCACTGGTGGCGCTACGATCGAGCCCAGGAATTCCAGCCTAGTTCGGCAAGGGTGGAAACTGGACTTTTAAAGTCAGTTAACTCTCTTGCCTCGGGAAGATGGTGGGAACCACGCTCCCCCAACAAACTGAAACCAAGTATTTCCAGTTTATCTAAAAACTTGGTTTTAGGTTCCCATTTACTGGGTCATGAAAGTGCGATTCAGGGACTCGGTTAACCAGTGATTAGCATAGGTCTCCTTAGAGCACCGAAGGTTATGTCTGGTTGATCCTGCGTGTTATTGTTGCAGGTGTCCACTGGCAAGGGAGTAGCAGAGGTTTGCGCATTCTGCATATGACCAAGGAGTGAAGTTGGAACTGCTCTAGGGACAGTGGTGGCAGTGACTGTGAGGATCCCGCAGTAGATTGGACCACTCTGGGAGTTTAAGATCTGGTTGCCCGGCGATGAGTAGTAGGTCCGGGAAACTTATTCTTGCCAGCCAAGCGGCGCCAAAAGGATCAAGGACATGTCAGTTGTTGAGTTGATCTTTTGGATCACCCAGGGTAGGAGCTCTGGTGTGGGAAACACATAGGCACTGAAACCTTCCCAGTCTAAGGCTAGGGTATCGACAGTCCAGGCCTGAGGGTCTGGCAATGGAGAAAAGAAAGTTGGCAACTGCATGTTGTGACTTGTGGCAAACAGGTCGATGTATAGCTCCTGTGCAGCTTCCAGAGCTTCCATCCTCTGTGGGGGATGGGCGGTCTGACATTAATAGTGCATCGGCCAGGACATTTCAGCACCCAAGGATGTGTCTTGCTCAGGCGAAACATCTGGTTCAATACGAACCAGACTACTTGGCATTGGTCAGTTGATGAGCCCAATACTGTACTGTCAGGATGACAGCTTCTAGTTCCAAGTTGATGATGTACCACCGCTTTTGTGCTTGAGACCAGAGCTCTGTGGCTGTCCTTGAAATGGGCTCCCTATCTCTGGAGTGAGGTGTCAGCGAACAGGTGATGGGATGCTTGGAACTCCATCAAGGTCACGCCATCTAAAGTGTTCGATGGATTAGCCACCAGTCCAGGTATTGGTGAAGGTGGTCTGGCAAAGTAATCAAAGTCTAATATTGCTGGCTCCATAGATAAAGCACCAGAAACAGTTGTGGCCTGATGTGGGGCCTCCCCCTGCTGTGAGGTGCTGTGCTGCTGTGAGGAGGGCTATTAGTACTTGCCACTGATGAAAGGATTGGGGGCCAAATAGTGCCAACTGGAAATATGTGACACTCTTGTCCCATCGATCTGGTGGGTGGAGCAAGAGGCCACCTATGAACGTCAGACTCTGGGTCGGTGCTAGTTACGACTTGAGTAACCAATAAGTTGGTAGAACGGGCGCATCGTGTTCCCATTGAGAAATGAGCTCTAGGTGGTTCATGAGGTAGTTGTCTATTTACGACATGTAGTCGATCCTCCTCAGGTGTAGGCTTCATAATGCGAATAAACACACAAGGGGCCGTTGAAATGCAAAATATGAGAAAGGCCCATCCGTTAGCAGTGGTGGTTGTTGAAGAGGAATCTCAGGTACTTAATGTTCGCCTCATGGAAAGGGACATGGAGATATGCGTCTTGGATGTCTAGGAAGAAGAGATAGTCGCCTAGAGCCATGGACAGACGTAGCATCGGAAGAGTGGTCTTCCTGAACCATGGTGGCTGCTCTAAATATCGTTGATTGAACATGTGAATCATGAGTAGTTTCGATGATTTTTTTGAAGACCAAAAACACTGGGGAGAAGAACCTTGGGATCAGCTGTTGTGGGTCCATTTCCTCTATGGCCTCCTTACAGCTGGGTGTAATCTGAACTGAACTCCTCTTACGCCAGCATGGTCCTCCAGGTGTGTGAGTAAATAGCCGTGTTTTAATAACATTATTACAAAGTGGCCCACAACAGGAATAAAACTTTGCCAAAACAGAGTGGTGAGGTGAGGTGAAATGGGGTTTAAAGTTGCGTCCAAGATTATTGCACTTGTATAGGGATGTGCATGTGTGTTTGTGTGGCTGCTTTTACTAGTCCGGACTGATGCCAATTAATAGTGCTAGCTCACTGAGATACCATGCCACAGTTTAACATGAATACCCACTCATACACAGTATACTGACTCCGAGCCGACCAGTCCTTGTTTTAGCCCCTTAATGCCAAGCCACAGACAGGGTAACAACAAGTACCATCTTTTAATGTCTTTTGGATCGAACCCGGACCTTTCGCTCTCCAGGCGGACGCTCTACCACTAGACCACGGAGGCAGCCAAAACAGAGAGTCTTTCCCCTACTGGTTCGTTGCTGATACGGACAGCAGGGGGAGGATGTTCCCACTATGCCTGTCCCCTGGGAAGCCATTTCTTCAAGCCTCTCCTCCTCTCCGCCTCTTGGGTAGAAAAGAATCCTTGTCATGTCTCTCCTTAGCCTGTTTAGTGAAATTATTGTGTGGTTTGTAGCCACCCTGATGGGTGCTAAAGTAATCCTTCATGGCCTTGAGGGTGGAGAGCGTGGCCTGTCCATTTTCAATTCTCTCGACTTCTTCCACTACCGGTGCTATGGCATTATTAAAGAGGGTCGATGCAGTCCAAAGACTTAGTGACCAAAGACACCTTGAAGCGAGGATCCCGAGAGAAGGCAGATACGTCACTCTGTCTCCTGAAAAGCTCAGCTGACAGTGTTTGGAATTGTCCCATCAACTCCAGAGCTCAACCGGGAGACACATCACTTGAAGGCGCCGCTGCTTGAGGCACCGCTGCTTGAGGCGTCGCTGCTTGAAGCCTCACTGCTGGAGGTGAAGGCGTCTAATTTGACTTGGATGAAGTCTTAGACCTGGCCCGCTGTCGAAGCTGTGAAGAAGTGGAGGAAAGGTTAGATAGTCAGAGTAGTTTCCTCTTAGCATTGACTTTAATACAAGTGAGGAGATCCGAATCAGAGAGGAAAGCACACTCGGGACACCTTCGAGTGGGAAGACACAATATCAGATAATCCAGACAGCGAAAATGAGAACCACACTTAGCAGCAAACTGTAACATGGGAGGTAACCCCATAAAAGCCCGCCCAAGTCTAGCTAGAAATTCAACAAGCAGAGGATAGAATCTAACAAAAAAAGGTAAGATCTCGTCTCTCATGTCCTGCTTAGCTTGAAAAGAAGAGAATAATGACATATAGGGGGCATGTCTTCCAACACCAGATGTCACGAGGGTCATGGAGGTCATGGAGGGTAAAAGAGTTCCTGAAGACGCTGATAGATCATCATTTATTTCCAGTTAGGACTTCGGAAGTAAGAGCAAAGTGCAATATGTATTGCTAGATAAGTTAAAAATATGATTGATGTATGGCAATATGTACAACAACATATTGCATGTGTTCCTTCATCTGCAGTTTGTTATGAAGCTAAATAAAAATTTACCCATACATCACACTTGCCCCGCACATTTTTGACAACCTTGTCCGCCATTATGTTGGATAACGCACACCTCAACAACATTCCAGGTCAGCGTAAGGTGTTACAGTCACCTATCCTGATTTGTATACTGCATCTGCTGTTCATACATTCAGGTTGGTTGGTTGGTTTGTTGTTTAATGCCGCACTCAGCAATATTCCAGCTATATGACGGCGGTCTGTAAATAATCAAGACTGGACCAGACAATCCAGTGATTAATATCATCAGCATCGATACACGCAATTGGGATCAATGACATGCATCAACCAAGTCAGCGAGCCTGACCACCCGTTCCCGTTAGTCACCTTTTACGACAAGCAGAGTCACCTTTGACGACAAGCATGGGTTGCTGAACACCTATTCTACCCCGGAATCTTCACGGGTCTTATACATTCAGGAACGACCCAACCATCACATCATACAGTTTTTATCATGTCTGTCAGTTTTTTAACTCTGCACTTCACACTATTCCAGATACATAACAGTGGTCTGTAAATTATTGAACCTGTACCAGACAATCCAGTGATTGACATCACGAGTATCAATCCATGCAATTCAGATATAATTACATGCAATCAATCTGGTCCCTGTTCAACAAAGCAATAATAGCACTAAGACTGATGTAAGTCCATGTTAAAGTAGGGATTTAGGATAGTCTTAGTGCTACGATTGCTTTGTGAACAGGGCACTGGTCACAGAGCCTACTTAGTCGCCTTTTATACTTTTTCAGTTTGCCCAGCGGTGTTGTGATCATGATGTATACTTACAGACTGTGAAGCAAACAGCACCGGCGCAGTAGCCAGGCCTAGCTTCAGGTCAGCAGCAGTGGGCTTCCCCATCACTTGATCACATGAGACGAAGTCCAGCAGATCATCGATCAGCTGCAGGGGAAGTAAGGCAACTAGTTTGTTACTTTTATCAAATACTTCATGAATTTGGATATTCATCATGTAAGTATACTTACCATCCTGACAAAATACATTGAAATTTCATTACATCCCGTTCATATAACACAGAACCCATAACATGTCTCCTCTACATTTGTGCCACCCGCTGCCCTGGGTTACCAACCAGAGTTATCTGTCCCTGATCCCTCATCCTCACGTAGCTTGATATCCAGACAGGGGACAGACAGACAGGCCCTAGACTTGTTATGTCAGGATAAGTATAAAAAATTGTTGCATAATATGATATAGTCACCTTAGAGGAAGATATATGTGAAGTTTTATTCACTTACAATGTATAATAAGACCAAAATGGAGGACATGAACATGATGAATAAACGCAATAAACAAAAGGAGATAACTATCCAATGAGCAGGAATGTGAGGGAACAGGGACAGAAAACAGTGGCTGGTAACCAAGAGCATTGTGTTATTATTTATGTATTTGTTTTCAACTTGTCAGGTTCGCTACCTTTGCGCCTCAACTTGTGAATGAATATCTGATACTGTTGTACACACAAACTGGTCTCACCTGAAATGCTATTCCGATATTTCTGCCATATTGATATGCTATTTCTGTAACATCTTCTGTACAGCGACCAAGGACAGCAACCTGAAACATAAGCCAGGAACTGTCTACATATCTATTTATAACTACTCATTAACATGTGCAGCAGAAATTCGCCGTGCAGAGTAATTCCTTTGGGTACGCCAGCAACCTTTGATTGTGGGTTTGAATCCCAGTTCGTCAGATTAAGTTTTTAGGTAAGCGAGTACCATACTCGTGCTTGTGGGATTCACCAATGTGGTAAACATCTGAGGCCTGCATCACTTTGGGCTTTTCCCTCACAGTAAGCTGACATGCCATGATATAACTGGAATACTCTTCAAAGCAGCATTAAAACAAACTCACTCATTCCTAGGTTGAGGAGTGAGTCATAGTTATTAGTGATTATGTATATGTCTGAATGAAGCAAATCTTGATTAGATCCAATAAACAAGGAAAGGTTTGATTGTCTGGAAGGTATACTAAGATTAATCTAATAATGAAACTTGAGTAATATTTTACTTTTGTTTTTTATGTTGATTTGTTGTTTAATGCACACTCAGCAATATTCCAGCTATATAACAGCAGACTGTAAATTATCGAATCTGGACCAGACAATCCAGTGGTTGATATCATGAGCATCAATCTACGCAAATGGAATACGATGACATGCATCAACCACGTCAGCGAGCCTGACCACCCAATCCCATTAGTCGCCTCTCACAACAAGCATGGGTTGCTGAAGACCAATTCTAACAGGATCTTCACAGGTCTAAATTGGTAGGATTATTTAACTTGCAGTATACATTGTGCCAGCCACAGTATTTTCCAAGGATCTCTATATTACTCACTGCCTTGCAGCTGTTGGCTAAAAGGCTTGCCGTCTTCTTGAAGGTTTTTTTGAGGTAGTGAGCAAACCTTTCATTCTCCTCTTCTTTGGACCCTAATTGCATAAACTCTCCTGAAATTAATCAAACAGAATTGCACTAAAATGAAGGCCAAATTGCCAAAGGTACAAAAACACATCAAAATATACATGTCAACGCTACACCTTGGGAGTATTTCACAGATAATCAATCATTAAATGTCTGACAAAGATAAACAATAGGACATGGCTCAGTCATCACGGTAATGTGGTTGTAATCTTGTAGTTGGAACTCTGTATGTACTGATAGTTTCAAATAATGATATCTGCTAAAAACAAAAGTCTGGAATGGGTAAACTGATATAATACTAAGTTTTCATACCCAGGCTTTCTCCTCCTGAGCACATGTTGTGGCAGTGGAACAAGAACAAATAACTATCTTTAGTTGGTCGTTACTTTCCACATAAAATTATCTGAACCAATAAACATATAACACTGACTTTGTATGTCATGTTAATGATACATATCAACTTACCCCTAACAAGATCTTCTATAACCTGAGATAAAATAGAAACAACTTGTTCATTGCGGAGACGTGCCAGCGCCATAGATGCTATGGATAGAATGTAGTCACCGGCTAAAATTGCCTGAAAAAGTCAAGACAGGCATTCATTCTTAAATCATGTAAATTGAAACATTGTGCAATTATTTTTATATGTTTGGGTTACAAGTCTGTTTTACCCCATTTTGATACTGTAGTCACTGTCCTATTTTGAAAATTAACAGGGGTGCTTATAAAACTACACACAACAAGTTAAATTTGTTGTCAGTTATCTAGCGGTAGATAGATGTTACAATATAGCTGATGCGGCAGTGTCCTCATTAGTTGAAACAAGCATGTGAAGTTGCAGCTTCATTGACACAGTGGTTTCTGAGATTTGGATGTTTACAGAGTAGGGAAATGCATTTTGAGATAATTATGAGCTAGGTAAAATTGCAAAAGCCAAAATATCATATCATTGACTAACAACACATATACCAAACATGTAAATACTAACACTACAAACTACACATATACCAAATTTCATTACATTTTGAATAGAAATGGCTGAGTAATGGCCATAAAAAGTTTTAGCTTTCAGTATGGTCAAACTGTGAGGTCAAAATTTATAATATCACACAAAAACGGAAATAAATCCTGAGCCCCACTTATAACCACATTTCCCAAATTAAAACATTATGACAAAGTCAGCCCTAGCGATAAGTTGTAGTACTGGGATCTACTTGGGATCCTAAAAGGGCTAACCAGGTCTTTCACTGTAATTTGTAGATCATAAATCTAGTGGATGGTGATATTATAAAAACATTCTGCCTTCATACCTTCTTTTGACCCCAAACAAGGTTGATACTGGACTTATTGCGTCGCGTATCTGCTGCATCAATCACATCATCGTGAACGAGACTGGCAGTGTGGATCATCTCGGTGATCATGGCTATCTTCTTCTGAGCAGGCAGTACACTGAAAAGTAATCAATGTCATTAACCCACACCTGAAAACACTCTGCAAGTCATTGACTTTTAGTCAAAATAGTCAGATATTCATTACTCGCAACCAATTTGTGCTGAGTCAATCTGATCTTGTGGTATTCAACATGTTTAAACTGTAGAAGAGGAAGAGGAAGAAAAAGAAGAAGAAGAAGAATCCCACCACGCTCACTCTTCCCTTAGTCGCTTTTATAGAGGAAGGGCATAGCTCGATTAACATGGATGCTCTTCATGATAAAATTGTATTGTACACTTAAGCACACACCTATTTGTCTGGTTTCCCTCTTGTAAAGCATATCAAGACTTGTGATGAAAACAAGGCATTCAACAGTTCCTTAAACTATCCAAGGATGTGGGACATAATCTCAATGTCAATGTTGATTTTCTTGATGTGAGTCTCAACCAAGCGAAGTGTCTTATCAAATCGGCCCAGACTGCTAGTATTTGGTAGGGCTGGGATGATACATCAACTGTGTGATCTAATACATATCAAGATACCTTACTCACAATCCGATGTGTATCACGATACTTGCATGTGCTCTTATCTGTGGTGCGTAAGACATCTTTTTCATGGAGAGGATGGTCAAATACCTGGCACACTGATGATTAACAGCTGTCAATGTGAAGTATGGCACAACAAATGAAAATATTAATGTTTTCACTATTAACTTGCACTACTGATTAGTGTTTAGTGGAACAGTTATTAAAGCAAACATGTAAGGTCAGAATCGATATTTTTTACTTAGTGTGCCACTGTGATCAATACTTGTATTGAGAAGTAAAAAATCGCGATCCACCAATGTATTTGTGTATCATCCCACCACTAGTATTTACGGAGTGACTTTCTGAATGACCACTGCTTCTAGTTTATGTGCAGTGTGTTCAGAAGATCAGCAACCAACTGTTGCATTGTGTTAAGTGTGAAACAAGAGTTGAACCTAGGCTGTTGTCATCGCTAATCTTGCAGTTACTTTCACTGTGTTTACCATGTTCACTAAACTTGTTGGTTCTCACCAGCACTCACCAGTTGCCAGCATCATTGTGTATGTTGCAAGCTCTGGCCATCAGAAGGACTATCATTGGTCGAAATGCTTTTCCTTTCCCATCAAAATAGTAACCAGCTATTTCAGCCAGTTCATTGCTGTCAGTTACTATTTCCTGCAATGGATAATCAGGGTTCAAAATACAAATTTAAAATTAATTAATGAGACTGATTAATGAGTGATTTCAGCAATTCGTTGCAAATAAGGTGTGTCGGAGTCGGAGTGCGAGACTGTCAGATTAACAGGTCTAAAAAGCACTGATTTAATCGGTTATCATCATTTGTGTCAGATAAAGCTGATTGTCGGATTAACAAATGTCGGATTAACGAGAGTTGAATGCATGTAAGCTAGTGACTGAACAATAACACAATACCTTTTTGATATCCTGAGAAAGTGAGCCAAGTTCCTCCTCCACCAACTTGTATGGATTATACACTGTGTTGTCATGTTGTGGACTGTTGGACGAAGGCCTGGTGAGATGGAGGCCTGTGTTGTGGCCTAGTGGTGATCCCTGGACATGAGCTGTGCAGCAGGGATGCTGGTGGCGTTGCAACTGGAAATTCAAACTTTCAACATATGCACTCTGTTACTTCATTGAGTGAGTGAGTATGGTTTTACGCCGCTTTTAGCAATATTCCAGCAATATCACAGCGGGGGACACCAGAAAATGGGCTTCACATTGTACCCAGGTGAGGAATGGAACCTGGGCCTTCGGCGTGATGAACCAATGCGGTATTCACATTATGTCTGCCTGACTTGTGAAGACCTGGGGTAGAATAGGTCTTGTGCAACCCATGCTTGCCATAAAAAGCGACTATGTTTGCCTAATGATGAAAAAGTAATATTAAATTTATTATGCACAAAGTGCAAGTAAATAAGCAAATTTAGTTGTGAATTTGAGACAGCAGTTATAGGTTATTTTCAGGTGGCACTTACATTTAAACTTGCTCAGTTTTTTCATTGAGCACAACACTACTATTAGCAGTAATGGTTTCAGAATATATGTGTATTGTCATATCTGCAGATCCAAATATTGTGTATTTATTGGATTCAACATACTTAGATTCCAGTTAACAATTTAGCCTCTAGTCTCAAGCCAGCATCTTGTAACATTCTGGTGAGTCAGCAAATAATCATGATAACTGTCCATGATAATAACACAAAAATCTACTGACAACAAAACCAAATGCCCAGTTCAGGTCAGTAAGGCTCAAAATTGTTTGACACTGACTGCAGATGTACATTATGCAACAATAATTGTCACCATGGTAACTACACTTGATTCTACCCAAATAATATGCAATTATACTAATAATTATACTACCTACAAAAAAACTCTTAAACCCATTCTGATAAAGATAAAAATATCCATAAGTGTACACTGAATGTTACTAATTCACACTTATATATATTATGAAGATCCGGGTAAGAAATGGTCTCCAGCATTGCTTGTCATAAGAGGCGACTAACGGGATCAGGTGGTAAGCATCTCTTGACTTGGTTGATGCATGTCATTGTATCCAATTTGTGTAGCTCGATGCTCATGACTTTAATCACCGTATGGTCTCGTCCAGACTTGATTACTTACAGATCCCTGTCATATATAGATGGAATATTGCTGATAGCTGCATTAAAGAACAAACACACAAACTAAATTAGTAGTCAGAACTACTGCTCGAAACTGAAAAGGGCATAATATAAGGGGTGTCTTGTCTTTATGAAGTAGATATAGATATGATTAGCAATACTTTGAGCATTCTACATTACAACACAACATATAACTTTAATAAAATCCGAATTGAGACATACCAGTCTTACAGGGAATTAATTTTTATTTTTGGACAGAACTACCCTGAACATGCTGAATAATGACAATACTATAGGAATACAGATTTTCAGATTTTACTCACTGATTGCCAGTAAACATATACATATATAATATGCCAATCAAGTCCTGACTACTTTTCCTAATTTGATAATCATCTAGATAAATAGACTGTATTATCAAAAGTTGAAAAAATCATGAAAATGTCACAGTGCCACCTGTACCTTCGAAAATCACTGGGAATAATATCAAGAACAAAGCTTATGTGCCTATTATCAAGTGAATGTAAACATTTCGTTCAACAAGTAAAGGGAGATAACTTCTAGTCTCCAAGCCATTGGCAGTATCCATACATTTGCAGAAGTAAATTATTCTAGTAGTTGACAAAATACTATAGATATATCAATCACTTGATCGTTATGAATTGTCCCCTTCACTTGTACCAAAACGAGCGAATGTACGATGACAGATAAGGTGATAATAAATCCGAAAGTCTACCGACTGTATTTCATAAGAATGCGAGTTCCGGACCGGTGAAGGTCGACTGTGGAAGGTGAAGCACGTTTTCGTTAGACACGTCTTGACTTACCACATGATACTGGTTCTTGCTTATGTGAAATATTACTTGTCTTCTTCCTAAGAAAGAATCAAAGTGGTACGAAGCTCCTGTCACTGAGATATTACCTTGTTTATGTCTAAAGTGGCCACAAATTCGAAGCAAAGATTTGTGTAGTCTGCTTCGAACGGCGGCCATGATTGTTTGCAACTAGTTTCTGGAAAACTAGCTACAACTACCTGGGCTTTATCACAGACCATATGCCGTATATATGGGTTTTCGCTTTTTGCAACTGTGAAACTCATCAGAGCAATCTGGTCTGAATTTGTTGTGCGCCATAGTATATATATTTCGACTATGGGTTTATGTCTACTCGTCGTCATTACATCACTGCTAACTGCTTGGTTGTTTTCATTAATATTTGCCAACTAAAGTTCTGCTCTGCACATTGCGAGGCGTCAATGTATCAGGGTAATATTTCATATGCACAGGAAACCAAAATAAATAAACATTTTTTAAAAATATATATTTAATGATGGAATTGGATATATGTCGCTGATAGGTCATTTTATATTCAATAATTTCATTACTTAGAAGATTAGCATTAAACAAGTAGTATGTCCTCGTGAACACTGCGCTTTGTTACGATGCGGCAACTTGATATAGACGGAACCGAGTTTCTTTAGTAATACTTCAGACTTGTTACATAATCCTTTTATGGTTTGGCTACCTTGAACACGTACGTACGTCAATGACGAAATCAAATTTCCAAGGGTAAAAATCACTTTCTTAAGCTAATACCATCTGAAGACGTGTCATATTCCTCGCGCGAGCGCTTCAAGTTCTTATATATTTGGTGTAAGTTTTACGTTTGTATATACACTGTATGATTTGTTATTGGCGCCTGATAAACATGTGATTTACAGAGATTTTCATGGTAATCTAATAGTTGTCTTGATAATGAATATTTATCAGTATTATGTTCAATCGTGTTCTTGTCTCTTTAAAGGGATAAAATACATTTCCTACGCTCTAAGAACAAAACTTAAATATCGTAATATATAATATTTGTATATTAAACCATTTTGTAGAGTACTAAAACATAGGACATTAATTGACAATGACCAAAGTCGACGACTCCGGATCCCCACATCTGGAGGAAATACTGTTCAAAGTGACGTATACTTCAGGTGTGTGAGGTTCTGATTAACAAAATGAAATTGTGTATCTTTTCCCCACCAATCACCCTCTCTGTATCTGTATAGAGAAGGGCGCCCCATAGCCACATTAAACCCGACTCGGTCTCTCATTAAATTAGACACAGCTGTTGTGGTATACTGAACAGCGGGAGAATGGACATGTGGTACGGGATAGCTTGTATATATAATGTTATTATCATATACCTATCACTGGTATGAGGCATTTTGCATGTGCGATAGAACCAACAAAGAGACGGTCATATCACAGGTGTGTTATAGCCAGACACGCGTAATTACTTTCCCTGTATGGCTGACAGGGCTTGTCAATCCATTTTCAGTCCGGGTGGTAAGAAATTGGAGTTACGTCCCACAGTGCGTCGTCTGCTCGGCTAGTTTTCCCGTAACAATGTCTTCCAAACAAGGCGAAAATGAATTTGCATTCACTTGCAAATAGATACATTTTACAATCTGATGCTGTGGTATATCATAGAAAGGTTATTATATGACAGTTTTCATATCATACCCCATATCAAGCCTCGACCACCATACCAGCCTTCTGGCCTTTTGACCTCGGGATGATATGGAGGTCTCGGGCTAATGTGGGATATGATATAAAAACTTCCATGTAATAATCTCTAAGTAAATATAATGCATCGCAGCTTGATTACTAGACCCCCTAGACTGTCTCACAGTCAGTGAATAATATTATTTTCCCTTCCGCCCCTAGTTCAATCTCCCATCCCACTGGGGCTCCTTTTCATTCAAATGGAGTTAATTGTTTCTTTCAAAATTATATATTTTCACCGACTACGTGTTAGTCTATTGACTATGGGAATAAAGAAGTTTGGTTTTCACTTTTTACTGCCATAATGTATTCCCAAAATCGTTTTGATAAACCCTATAAGCATGTACGGGGAGTATTCTTTTTCATAAATGCTATGGTATATAATTATATTGAAAGCATTATTGTTCACTGGCTACTGAATAATGTCGAAGTTGTATGTCAAATCATTCACTGGCATTTTGAGTTGCTATATATATTGATGAGGTTGTTGAGAAAGGGGGAAGGGCACCTCGAATGTGAGGACAATTCAAACGACACTTTATTTATATATTCTTATTGAAAGTCTCTGGGAAATAGAACCAAGCAACTCCGCCTTTGTCAACAACATTTAATAAAATATTACATTTGAAGCGCTGGTAAAATACGGTTTGGTTTTCACTTTTTACTGCCATAATGTATTTCCAAAATCGTTTTGATAAACCCTATAAGCATGTACACCACTTTTTTCTTTGGTGGTGTTGAGAAAAACCATCATTGAATAATTGTTTGTTTTAAGTCTAACGCCTCACTCAGGGATATTACGACGGCCTGTACATTAACGCGTCTAGACGAGACAATCCAGTGATTTGCATCATGAGAAATGATCCAAGCAATTGGTGTAGATAACATACAATCAACCAAGTCATCGAGTCTGACAACACGATTCTTTTAGTCGCCACTTTGGACAAGCATATATTTCTGGGGACCTATATTCTTACCAAAAAAACAAAACATGGTTGTTACAAAAAAGCAATTATATAATGTTTGGAATACAAACAAACAACGACAGTCTCTTCAATTTGGACAGCCACATTGTGCTCTTCAGTTGATTGATTAGACCCTGCCTTCACACTTCTTATTCGATGAAAAGTGAAACATATTAATAACAGGGCTTGTTTTCTTAAGCAAATGTCGCAGTTCACATACAAATGAGTAACTTTGTTTCCATAATCAAATAAGGTAATCGTCAGGCTCAGGTTACATTTTTTAAAGTTAGGTTTTGTGTTACTGTAACGTGAGGGGCGGTCGGGTAGCCTAGTGGTTAAAGCGTTCGCACGTCACGCCGAAGATCCGGGTTCGATTCCCGACATGGGTACAATGTGTGAAGCCCATTTCTGGTGTCCCCCGCCGTGATATTGCTGGAATATTGCTAAAAGCGGCGTAAAACCACACTCACTCACTCACTGTAACGTGATAAACCGTTTATTATTTCAAATAAAATTCAATAACAACATGGATCATATAAATATTGAAGTTTCATTTTCACTTATGACCAAAATCGTTTTGATTACCTCATAAACATGTACTAGGAATATTATTTTCCATAAGCGCTATGGTATGTAATTGTATTTGAAGCATTTGTGGTTGCGAGGATACATGTAGAATCACTCACTGGTATTCGGAGTTGCTATGAACGAAACGAGCCTGTGTTGTTTAAATCAGCTGCTTCTGTATTTCGGAATTGCAAGCTTCAAGTTGTCACCGATCAGAAAAACTCTTTTTGGCATTTGTCTTTATTCTCTGAAACGATATGGAAAATGGGTAATTCGAATTATTGGTTTGGCAGTGATATTAATTTATGTAAACTGTCTGATATTAATGCTTAACTCTTTAATAATGTTTCGCCTTTTGCAACTTGATGAGCTTATTGAGAAACGGGGAAGGCCACCTCGAATTTAAGGACAATCCAACAGATACTTATTTGATATGTTCGGATTCACATTTCCTGGTGAAAGTCAGCAAGAGGTCTTTGAGGCGCTCGTAAAATCCGCTTTTGGCTTAACTCCGCATTCAGCAGTTATCCAAGTTGATGGCGGCGATCTGTAAATAATCGAGTCTGGTCAGGACATTCAGTTATTGACAACTGATCCGAGTATTTGGAACAGATAACATGGAATCAACCAGTTAACCAAGCCTGACCATCCGAATCTTTCAGTCGCCTCTTACGACAATCATAGGTTTCTGGGGACATAAATCCTCACCCTGAATCCCCACATGTGTGACAAAAGAGCGGAAGGTAGCAAATATGCTCTGCAAGAAAATGGCGATGCCGCAAATAGGCATAAGTAAAATTACAAGGTTTAAAAAAACCCGTCACAGTATCTTCACTTTGGACTACCATATCTTTAGAAGATAAATAGACCCCTGAAGATAGGTCTTCAGCAACCCATGCTTGCCGTAAAAAAACGACTATGCTTGTCGTAAGAGGCGACTAACGGGATCGGGTGGTCAGGCTCGCTGACTTGGTTGATACTTGGTTGGTCTAGACTCGACGAGTGCGGCGTTAAACAACAAACTCAACAATGAAACTTGACATAAGTGAGTGATTTTGGTTCAACGCTGCTTTGAACAGTATTTCAGTTATACCCCAGCGTGCCAGCTAAATGTGTGAGGAAAGCCCGACGTGATGTTCTTTCTTAGACGTTTTCCATCTTGGTCGAAGCAACGAGTACCGTTAGGTGTAGACAAGCCACGCAACATGATCAGAGCGACCGGGATTCGAACCCGTCTTTTGGACACATGTAATTCAGACATGCGCCTATGTGTCCCCGGGGTAACTCTCCCCATGTAAACGCATATACCCTTGGGAGTAAACCACCCCCTCGGTGAGGTGGAGGAAACTATGTTACCCCAAGCGTAAAGATATTTCCGCTGGCAAACATGTCATGTAAACGCCCAATTGCAGCATGTGACAAGGGGCAACTAAACGGAATAAACATTGTACGTTTGTCTGGACAGTCGTGAAGATCCGGGTTAGAATAGGTCTTCAGCAACAAATACTTGCCGTAAGAAGTGACTAACGGGATCGGGTAGTCAGGCTCGCTGACTTGGTTGATACATGTCATCGTATCCCTATTGCGTCGATCGATGCTCATGATGTCAATCACTGGATTGTCTGTTCCAGACCTGATTATTTACTGACCACCGTCGTATAGCTGGCATATTGCTGAGTGCGACGTTAAGCAACAAACAAACAAACATTGGTCTTTAGAAAATAAATAACAGAAGTTATGACCGTAAACCACTTAGCTATCTCCCCAACATGTATATGGTGTTGGCGAATTTGACATTGATAGAATTTTTCATCAGCATACTTGAGCGTGAGTACTTCACGAACGTCTTGTCAGCTGTCATGTACATGCTTGGTTAGCAAGGACATTAGCTTGCTTCAACGTGGTCAACTCA